CACAAAATAACAAAATAGTTTGTTAATAATGAATGTCAGATTTTGGTTATGATTAGCTGCTGACATAAACACGAAAACAGACTTCTTTTGCGTAGATGACACTAGCTTTTGTATTTGTTTCAAAGGCAGTCAACAAGAGTGCTTCTTCAAATGATTTCTATCATTTTTGCAGATCATTAATCCTACTTGCTCTTTTTTAGGTAGAGTGTCCATGTCTTGAGCATTGGAAAAATTATACCCTGTCATAAAAACAAGCAGTCTTAGGAAAAGCATAAGAGGGAAATAAGCATGTCTTTTGTCTTTTGAAATACAGAATGACTTACAGAGGTGAAGGAGAAAAATCTCTGTTGACGATTACCTATTAAAACACAAGTAGTTTGTTTTTAACATTTCCCATAAAGGAAGGGCAATATAGAATCTCAATGTAAGTGTAAGTTAATTTTATTTATTTGCTGAAGGTCAGTTACGTACCTAGCTTCACTAATTTGGTCCTGGACACTGTATTCTTATTATTTTTGTCATAATACAGAAACAAAATATCATAAAAGCATTCCTATGAACACACTTTCCCAAACCTGTTTGGAGTTGTAAGGACCTTGAGCACCCTGTTTGAATCTATTTCATTCTTTATATCTCAAATTACTAACATTAGCCATTAGAACACAGGAAATTTTAAACAGATTTTGCTTTCATAGTAAATCATCCCTGTTTTCTCATCCATTCCCTCAGCTGAAAAAGGAAATATAAAAATGAGGCCAAATGAATACATTTTTGAGTTCTGAATTTATTTCACTTCCAGATCTTGCAATGAAGGTCAGGTGGTAAGATTGGTACAAACCTTGGTAATATTTTAGATTTAGATACAGAAATGAACATATATATATATATTTTGTAATTGCACAGTGGAGCCAGAGGCAGGGTTCCTGTCTGTAGAGCTATGTTTGTTTGCATGTATCCTTCAAGTGAAATCTTTACAAACTTAACAGTATATACTTCTTGTGCTGCTGATAAAACACACCAGCCAAACCTGCCTACCAGGTGGATTTGAAACTGAATTTACTTTTACATGCACTTATAAATTACTATTTCAGTCCAACCAAGTGGTTCTTGATGTCCAATGTATAATGTTTTTGTTTTGCCAAATATATGTCATTCATTTACATATATACATAACTGTGGACCTCACAGTACCATATTACATCTTTCATATATGTTACACATATGAAAATTTTATACATTATAGATTTATGAAAAAATGTAATATGGTGCCCTGTGAGATCCACAACCACATTTTCTTGATTTAGTTTCCCTTAATATTAGAGTGTCATAAGATTTTGCAATATTTAAGTTAAAAAGGAAATCACATTTTAAGCCAAAATCTTAGGAGTCCAATCTCTATTTTTAAAAAATTAAAGCAATGAAGTATCAGTTGTTCCAATGCTATAATGTATCAAGTAGCACTGGAAATTAAGTCCCCAAACAGTGCACGTTGAGTTTGTTCAGCGGATATTGACGTTCTACAAGTCATCATTATACATATTTTCAACAATTTTATATTCAATCTACTCTTTCAGCGAAACTTTGGGAAATATCCCGAGATAATTTACTGGGTGAGTGCATCCATCTTCTAAAAGACATTTGTAATATTTCAGTTTGACCCCGTAGACACTCTATTAAAGGAAACAAAATTTAAGTAATAAATAGGTGAAGGGTGAAAGTAATCTAGATGTTGGCACTGTGCCATAGCTTCATTTAAAAGCTGTAGTTCTTCCTCTCCCCTTTCCTAAGGGCCAGAGTTACTTTGTTATTTAAAGTCTCCGTATTAAGACTGTTACTGAAGAACCTAGAAGTACAAAATATCACGAAATCTTTTCAAGTGGCACACAGCGGGTTTTCTGTATCCTACCGTATATAAGGCAAATCGTTACAGTTAACCACCTACCTACGGTTGCTCTTGCTACAATCCACGTCAGCCTGTGCGCGGATTTGTCAGCCTGTGCACGGACTTCTGGAACCCCGCAGGAATCTCGCCGAGATTGAATAACAAACAGCAAAAGCCCTCCCCTTTCGGAGAGCTGAACACCATCTTGATGTAGGGATTTTTGAATAAGCGGGCAAACTCGAGATGGCTCCCAGATTCCCTTTTCCCAAGCACTATCCAGTGGACCGCGCTCGAGTCTCCAAGGTTTCCGTAAGTACCGTCTTGCGCGTGACTTGCTCTGCTCCGCCCACCGTGTAAAGGAAGCGTTGGGTGCCTACTGACGCTTATGTCGACCGTTGCCACTGTCTGGTCCTGTTTTCACCTTTTCCCTTAGAGCCCCCAGGGCCTAACGCCCGAAGTGGGGATTCACAAGGGGCTCCTTCAAGGTCAGTGGGGCGGACCTTATCACCTGCCTCCAACCCGAATGCCAATCACTGCCGCCTCCCACTCCGCCCCAGCATCTTCTGTGTGAAGAGTCATAGCACCAGGGATCTCTGGCGGACTTCTTCACAGGCCACTTTTCTCCAGAAAACCCTGAAAAGTAAACCTAGGAGTTCCATATTCCGCTCCTAAATCTCGCTGGAAATCCGTGTGCTCCACCTCTCTCACCTCTCTGCGTTTGGCTTCGAGGTGAGTGTCGAGGGCTGCATCCAGGAAAAAAGAAAAAAAATTATTCCCAGTCTGCCACTTCTTTCCTGCGGAGAATCGAGTCGCCCAGGAAGACTTAACGCCGCTCCATG